TCGGGACCATGAAAGGCCGTCTTGTGCTTATCTGCTTCTCGGATAGGTATCTGATTGAAGCCTTGTCTCAGGTCCAGCGTGGTATATACCCGTCCTTTTGACAACTCGTCAAAGAGCTCTTCAACCACCGGCATGGGATAGCGGTCGCTCTTGGTCACCCTATTCAATCCCCTGTAATCACCGCACATCCGCCTTGATATCGTCTCTCCTGTTAGGTCCTTGCGAGCTGCCACCACGGTTGCTGCCGCGTACTCGGAGGTGGATTCCCGGATCAATCCCGCTTCTAACAGCTCTTTGCACTTCTCCTCCGCAATGTCTCGGTCTCCAGGACTCATCCGTCTCCGCCTCTGGTACACTGGCTCTTGGCTCTGCAGCTCTATGTCCATCACTGCCCGATTACACTTGCCCAACTCCTTCACAGAAAATGCAAATGCCCCTCTGGCTGCCCCCAACACTCTCCTCATCTTTTCCTTCTGTCCCTCGTTAAGACCGTCCCCCATTTGCCACTCCCCGGCTCTGTCCTGTGCTCCCTCCACCGGTGCCTCCTCCCTTCCTTCTACTTCTCCTTCAGTGTTCTCTTTGCTTCTCTCCGCCCTTGCTCCCTTTGCCATCAGTACCATCCCTTGACGGTTGAACTGGTCCTCTTCTCGCGCTCTCTCCTCCCTCTGATATACTGCCGATTGCCTCCATTGAGCCGCCACCTCCATCGCCATCTCCGGTTCCGTGTCCGTCATCTCTATGAAGTCCCTGTACCTCTGCAGCATGAGCAGCTGCGCTCTCAGCGTTTCATGCCTCTTTTCAGCGCGATACAGCAGCCATCCCAAGGCATGCTGATCAATAGCTCCTCCCAGCGCCTGCCGCCTCACTTCTTCTGACACCCCTTCCGCCGCCGTCGCGTTTCGCAGATAGCCCATGGCTCTCTCACGTTCCACTGCTAGTGGCTCCTCCCACTCCCCCGTCGCCAGCACCTGTACCATTCCCGGTCCCGGTTGATCCCCTTGCATGCTAAAGGCATAGCTCCCCGGGGTCGACACCAGAGTTGGCCAGGCCTGCCGTGGTGCCCCCACCTCGTTACACGGGTACTGCGTCCTTATGTCCGGGCTGACCACTGGGGCCACCCTCCTCCCCGGTTCCAGGATATCCTGCACCAGCAGGGGTAATGGCCGGCGCATGCGACCCAACTGGTCCCGCAGCACTGGTTCTGGGACCATGTTCTGCCAATACCGCCGGATCCGATGTGCCCGAGCACCCATCTGTGCTGCGTCCCATGCTACCCCATGGCCCAGCTCCCGTGTGACCGCCCGGTGCGCCTCCTTCACTAAGCTCCTTTCATCATCCGCCACGTCAAGATTCTCCACCACGTAAGAGAACGGGCCTTGCCTTCGCTTTATTAGCTTCATCACCCGAATTAATTCTTGGAATAGAGCCGTCCTGGGGTCTTCTAGTCCTCTCCCTCTTCCTGCTCTGGACAGGCCTTGACACTCCCATCCCGCCACCAGCAGGTCCACTTGCCCCCAGCTTGCTACCACCTCCTCGGTCACCTCCGTCACATCACTCATCCTTTCCGCCTCCAACCGGGCCTGCTCGACTACGTCTCTGGATAGCTTGTCTGGGAATCGCTCGTGCAGTATCATCGCGTGATGCATCGCCATCCTCCTGACCTCTGGGTTCTTCTCTACGTAGGTCCATCGCTCCACCACCATGCCCAGACGGACACAGGCGGCCAGCCCCGGGCCGACACCCCCGAACAATTCCACCAGCCGTACCGGCCGATTGAAAGTTTCAAAGTCATAGGCTGGTTCGGCCAGTCCTCTGGCCTCCCTCAGTTCCTCCACCCTCGCCCCAGCCGCTTCCTCCATTCTTCGTCGACTGGCTGCCCTTTCCAGGTACACTCCCGCATCTTCCCATCGCTGCTCGGGCACCCGCTGGTGATGCGGCTCTCGATACTCCACCCTTCCTCGCAGAAAGCGCGCCGGTAGGACTGCTCCCTCCTCTCCAGCACGGGTCGCTTCTGAATCCCAATACAGTGGCTGGTAGGTGACCCTCTCCGCCCACGTATCCACCACTGCCCCCACCTTGTAGAGGAGCTCCATACCGAGCAAGAGGTCATAGTCTTCCGAGTCGGATACCAGACAGTGTACTCGGATTCTGGTCTCTTCGGCCCTTCCTAGCGCCAACACCACTTCTTGGGGTCGGATGGTTCTCGGTAGCCATGTTCCATCCCCTCCTTCCGCCGTTTGAATCCTTACTCCTTCCGGCGTCACATTCTCGGCCCGATGCAGTCCCAGCCTTTCGGCCAGTCGCCTTCCCACCAGCACTTGGGACGCCCCGGTATCAATAATTGTTGTGCCCGGGTATTTCCCTTCCACTGCTACCGTCCCCTCCAGCGCTTCCACCACGCAAGGACGAGCCGCCATCCTCTCAAACGGGTGCCTCCTGGGCCCCATTCGGGCCACCGCCCGCTGCACTGCTTCTTCCGCTGCTCCTGCCGCTCCTCTACGGCCTCGTCTACTGTTGCCCGCGGTCCCCTCCTTACTGCCGCCGTGCCCCTTCGGCCGTCTGTGGCACCACTACGCAGGCCCAGGTCTTCCCTCTCCCTCCCCGGGTTTGCCGCCATGAAGATGGGCTCCGGTCCTTCTTCGTCGGACTCTTCCGCGTACCTTGCGACGTGGACTGGCTTTTCCTCTTCTGCCATCGTGTCCTCTTCCTCTGCCCGAAGCCTCCTCAGCTCCTCTTCCAGCTCCTCGATCCTTCCTCTCCTTCCCCCTCGACCCTTCTGCTCGCGTTGCTTAGTGTAGCAATTGTCAGCCTGATGCCCCTTTCTCTGGCAATAGGAGCAGGTCTGCAGCTTGGGGCAGTCCCTCTTGAAGTGCCCCGGCTCCCGGCACTTGTAGCAGACCGGCTCTTCTCCAGGAGAGTGGGCCGCGCTGCGAGGCTTCCGCGTCCGACTCCTAGAGGCTCGATCCCTTTCCTGATCTTCCTCTTCCGCCTCCTCCCCCGCCAGTAGGGCCCCTCCCCAGCCGACTCCCCTGCGCTCTCTCTCCCTGGGCGGCTTCTCGGTCTTCCTCCCCAGGTCATAGAGGCTCAGGGACTGCTCGTGTCGCCATGCGATTTCATACGCCTGTCGCAGCGTGGCGTTGGGACCCAGGTCGTATGTCCGATCCCTCACGGTCCGTGCTAGCTCTCCGGCCAGGCCGTCCAAAAATTTGGCTACTATAATACGCGGTTCGCTGCAGCCGATGTCCTCCGCCAGTTGATGCACTCGCCGATAATAGCCCAGGAGAGACTCTCGTGAACCTCGTCTCAACTGGTCGAACTCCCTCATCCTGGCCGGCGTTTGCGTGGGGAAGTGCGCCGCCAATTCTTGCAGGAAGCGCTCCGTCGGGTCCCGTAAGCGGATGGGCTTCCCTTCTTCGTCCCGTAGCAGTCGGCCCTCCTCGTCTCGCTCTTCCTCCTGCAGCAGCGGGTCCCTAATCTCCAGGTAAAACGCTTCCGCCTCCCCCGCCAGCGTGTTCCCCAAAGATCTGAAGAAGTGCCGTAAATCCAGGCCGTCCATCTCCCATCCGTATTTCTCGTTCCGCACGTGCATCGCGTAGGTCTTCACTCTCGGTCCCGACTCTTGATCTCCACTGAAGCGACTCGGAACCTCCACCTTAGGGAGGCTGGTGTATCGGTAGCGTGACCCCTCCTCCCACAGCGAGCGTCTTGAATTCCCGCTTCCGGATGGCGTCATCTGCCCTCCCCCTCCTCCTTCTGATCTGGCAATTGGCGCAGCGATGCCCCTCCCCGCCACCGTCGCCTGTTCTTCTGACGGCGACAGCTCTCCCTGGGTTCTCTCGGCGCGCATCGCAAATCGTCCCGATCCGCGGGGGGTCATACCACCTCCGCGTCGTTCTTCCCGCCGGCCCTTGTCCTCGGCGTCATTCCGGGCAGTTACTCGCTCGGGATCGGATCTCTCCCCCGGGCTTTCTTCCACTTCGTTCCCCGCCGGAACTCCTTCCTTCTCCGGTGGTTCTCCCATTCCGGACAGCTTGGCACCACTACGTAGTGACATGCCCGCCATGACTTTTGTTTGTAAAGAAGCCCTCGACGCGAGTGGCTAGTTTCCTTCCCTAGGCACAAATGGCCGCACTAGTTTGGCTTCTCCGACGTGGATCTAGCAGTTGCTCAGCTTGACGACAGATCACAACTGAATCACAAGCTTTCCCACAATTACGAGAAGACAAACAAAAGTGAGTTGGTGTCCTTGCCGTGCTAGTTTTGGCTCCCTGTCACCCCTCGTGGATCTGCCCCTCGGGGTCTGCCAACTACCCCTCGCACCGCCCAACCCTTGGGGCTCTTTCCCTGCATGCGACTCGGGCAAGCCTCGTCACCCCTGCCCCCCTTCCAGTTCACCGGTGGCCCTTGCCAGGTCAACCATTGTCCCGGCCTCTTTTCGAGTGGTCCCGCCCTCGATTCTCCTGTCCCTGCCATAATTCCGATATCGCCACAACCCCCCTACCCGCACACTCTACAGTACATTTCACAACAACTATACAACAACACTACTTCCCTCACAACTTATCTAACCGTACTCACCTTAGGAGCTGTCTCATGAACCTTTGTGAACTCATTCGCAAGCGTCATGCGACATGAGCCTACCATATTCATTCCCCCCCCCCCCCCACCCATTTCATAGGCTTTTTAAACACCATTCATCCATGGGCTCTTGCTCTTAAACTCATTCAGTTTCGAATTCATTTGATGCTGAAAGGAACAAGGATTCACGGTGCCATTGTGACATATGGCTCCTGTTGCAGTCACTTGCCTAGCTAGAAGAGGCGGTGCTTACAACCCCTTTCGTCTCCATGATTCTCCTTACCTAATTTATTGTAAGGATACACGCACATTCCTCACATTGTGAGTCTCCTGAAAAAAATGTTTTGACTCACATTCCTTACCCTCCCCCCCCTTTTTTTTCCCTGTCTTTCATTGCCACCCACCTGATGCAATTCCAGGAGATGGAGCACAAGCATTTACTTCACACGCCGATGGCTCTAGAGGGATGGCATGTGGTGTATGCCAAGCGGCCAGGCCCACATGCTGATGGTAGCGGCATCTTCTACCGCTCTGAAAGGTACATACATGCAGGCATGGCCATGTGCAAGCGGGCATACTGTGTGCGTGCTGGGGTGGCCATGTGTTAGTGTTGGCAATCTCTGGCCAGAGATTGCCTTCCTTAACTCCACCCTCTCGCCACCACGCCAACCACTTGTAAGTTTCAACCACACACCCTTGCTCCTCCCACTTTTACCTTTCGCGAATGTTTTCCCACCCTTCATGGCGTTTCAGGTTTCGAGTGATTTGTTCCAGCGTAATCAACTTCAACGACCTCGTCCCTGAAGATGAAGGAACAGACAGTGCTTATACAAGGCCTGCTTATAAGGAGGATGGGGAGCACCATGAGCAGCAGGCCAAGCATCGGGTTGAGAGCCCCCGCATGGAGCATTATCATGGTTCGGGTCATCATATTCATTCATTGGACGAAAAACATCACTTGGACCAGCGGCAGCAGGAGGAGCAGCTGCAAGGGCAGGAGGACCGTCGTGGTTCGGGTCATCACATTCATTGGTTGGACGATCATCACATGTGCAATGAGAAGATCGACCCTGACCATCAAGAAGGCGTCAGTCATGACGAGCAGCATCCAGACCAGCAGCAGCAGGAGGAGGAGGCACAGCAAGGGCAGGAGCATCATCAGCATGATCACCATCATCACCACCAGCAGCATCACCAGCCTCCTGACTTGTCGGATCCTCAGATTCGATTTAAGCGAGACTGCGTTGCTGTTGTTGCTGCCTTTGAAGAGATTAGCCCGCCTGGCTCCTCCAGCTCCTCTGAAACAGCTGGGGGTCCTTCTGCAGAGGGCGCACCTGGTGGAGGTTGCATTGTCATCGTGGTCTCGTCCCACATATACTGGTACAATGCAGTGCCTGTCTCCCTCCGTTTCCCCATCCCCATCCTCCCACCCTCCCTCTCCCACACACCAAACCCCAACACATGTTCCAACCATTTCCGCCCTGTGCTGTTTAACAAGTGTGGCAGTGTGCGATGTTTGATGTGATGGCATTTAGACGGGCCATCGACCATCGAGCACCCATCCACCTGTTTGCACCCCACCTGTATATGCGCCAAACCACTCTACCTCTAAACTTGGGCCATCTCACTCCACTCTATGCTTGGGCCATGTCACTGTATTCGTGGCACCCCACTGTGTTCATGCCATCTCATTGTGTTCTTTCTGACCTCTGCAGGAACCCCAACTGTCCTGATGTGAAACTGGCGCAGGCCCGGTACCTGCTGCAGGAAGTGTCGCGATTCAGATCGGATATAGAAGCCCTTTATTATCACCACTGCCACGGGGCATCGCAGCTAAGTGCTGACTTTATGTCAAGAGGAGGCGGTTTTCACGCGGATGGTTCGCGCGTTGAGGGGAAGAAGGAGAAGAATCAAATTCCGGTGGTCATTTGTGGTGACTTCAACTCGAAGCCTGGAGACCCAGTAAGACTTTTCGTGACCTTTTCTGCAGTTTGCTCAGGTTTCAGTTTGCTGTTTCAGCTTCCCTTTGCGCTCCCACGTATAGCACTTTCCTCCTTACTCCACGTGCTCTTCCTACGAATTACTAAAATACATGCCAAATACCCCACTTCTGGCCCTGCACTTCAGGTTTATAGGTATCTTCTTTCCGGCAGCACAAGCGATGAGAGTTACGAAGAAGACTGTAGGTCGGGAGGCGAAGGCTCTGCGGGTGGTTGCTCAGCAGCCAATGATGCGCCGATTCCACTCGCAAGTCTTAACGCATTGGCGGCCAAAGAGCGATCCATGTGCCATGCTGCTCATACCTCACCAACTGATTGGGAAGACTTGCCACAGAACCTCGAGCCGGCTTTTACAAGCTTCACTTCGGAGTTCAAGGCAACCCTAGACTACATTTTTGTATCTAGAGATTCTGGAGGTTTTTCTGTGCACTCCACTCTGTGGATTCCGAATGATTCCGATTCTCACTTGGCTGGGGGTTTGCCAAACCTGTACTTCCCTAGTGACCATTTACCTATTGGAGGAGATGTTGTATTTGATACGTGAAACTGTTTATAGACTTACTGGTACTAAGGTGTACATGAGCGAAACAGCAGTCGCTGAAACCACTTGTAGACGAGTAATGCAAAAGACATCAACAACAGCGGAGTCGTCGTCCTCCATGAATATTTCCAAGCCTGCCCGTTGTTCATGGGACAGGGTGAGTGCTTGATAACCCAGAGTCCCCCACACAGAAATGCTCGACCTCCGTGACCCCCTTTGAAGCACATGGAGTGGCGCAGCGAATCTGCTCAACGATACGGGCAGGTTTGTTGGAGCATGGAAGGTTCGAAGGGAACCTTGGTCCTCACGGCTGAGCTACCATACTGTACCCAACCAAACCACTCGTGTTAGTCAGACTGAAACCGACAGACACCCACCCACCCACATCAAAGCAGACCCACTAGAAAATGGATGGAAGCTTGGGAGACGGGCAATGGCAGTATCTGGGTCAAACCGAAAGAAAGCTTACTGAGAGATTTTCTCCAAACCCTTGTTTGGGGATTCGTTGTTGCACACGTGGCTACCGTTTGCTCGAGTGGCTCTCAGATTCAATGATAATTTCTCGAGTGGCCTCGCCTGTGGATTCTCAACGTTTTTTTTTTAGAGTGAACATTGCCCTTCAGGGGTATCTATCCTCGAAACTTCTGTATTGGTTATTGCGCGATCTTTTATATCCGAAATTTATGTTCGTGACTCTATATGACCGCGCCTGATTGGACGCTCATATAATCGACCAATCCTGCGCGGCCATTAATGGTCGCGCGCATCATATTTTAATGCCCGATCATATATTTCCGCAGTTATAAACTGCAATGTATTTAACGACCGCGCATGATTGGTCATTTATATGCGCGGTGCCTTTTTTTGAATTGCGCGTCCAATCAGGCGCGGTCATATAGGGTCACGAACATAGATTTTGGATACTGAAGATCGCGCAGTAACCGGTACAGAAGTTTCGGGGTTAGAAACTCGTGTAGGGTAATGTGAAGGGCTAAAAAAACCAGTGGGAATCCCCTGGCAAGGCCACTCGAGCAATTATCGCTGAATTTGAGAACCACGCGAGCAAATGGTGGCCACGTGGGCAAAGCTGAATCTCTAAACAAGGGTTTGGAGCAATTCTCTCAAGCTTACTAGTTTCCCTTCAGTCTTGGACTTTCACACCCGATCTTGTTGAACGTGCGTCAGACTACGGCTGGTGTCCTTATCTTGATGTTCGGTTCGTTGTATCTGCTGGCTCAGTATAGTTTGCTAATCTCTCTGTCTCATATGGATGCCTGGGTCTGGTTAAGGTTGGCTTTGCACGTGCATTTCCCTGGTTTAGGTTAAACATCACTGTTCCTTCGTGCATCGATTCAGTTAACTTATCTTGCATCGTCATCAAAGCCATGCGAAAAGTGCTCGTAGCATCCCGCTTCCAGTTCGCAATAAAAAGACTGACGGTTTGATCACCATGCTCTTTTGATAAATACTTTCAACTGGTACTGTTTCCTCCATTTTTAACGACCGTAGACGTTTCCTGGCCGTATTTCTCAGGGTGTAGGAACATCTGAATAAGATTAAAAGGAAGTACCAAATTAGTCCACAGCTCATTAGGAGCCATGGACGACGAGCCGATCATTCCGATGTCAGACCCAGTGGCGCTTCTGTCCCACATCGAGGTCCCTAATCAGGTAAAATACTTCATCTTTAACCTTTTTGGTGCTTAAAGCTGTCTATTTTTGCTACCAACTCTGGGAAACCTCGTGCTCTTTGCTCACGGAAGGAAATATGTTGTCGTCGACTGCTATCGCGTTTTCCGCTTTTGGTTCAGGTTCGGTCCGTTATCATGGGGGGTCCTGGAAACAGCAACAACTCGTACTACGCGTATCTGGAGGCCATAGATCGGCTGCACGGTGCAGTGCGGTTTATAGAGGAGGAGCTAAGAAACGGCCGGTACCTTATTGCTAAGGCGATGGAGAATGTAAAGCAAGACTTCAGCAAGCTGCTAACTAACAGCAGGTAGCTTCACCACCTGAGTTTAATAGCATTTAGCAGGACACAGTCGTTCTTTTAGCGCAAAAAACGTACATCAATAGCACGAGGAGGTGGTTGATTTTTTCTTTAGAAAAGGCGTTAATTTGCGACATCAGGACGTAGGAAAATTCCACTGTTTTCCGTTTGAAAGCACTTAGTCGGTTCAAGCGAATCAGGATATCCTGTTGAGGGACCAATAAAGCTGGTTTCGTCTGTTTTCGTAACCTTGCACGCCAATCATGTCTCTGGTCATCCATTTCGCTTATGCCGGTTACTCTCCTCAACTCTTGTAACCCGCGTTCTCCGGTGTGACTTTCCAGTTTGTTTCCCAACCTAGACGAGTTGAGGGAGGCGATGCTATCTGAGGAATCACCTGACCACATATCACCGCCGGAGATGGTGGAGGCTGCAGCCATTCCGAAACTACATGCCATGGCCCAGCGGTTGATCGATAACGACTGCGCGCTAGACTGTTGCAAAATGTACCGGTGAGTAAGCCGTGGGCTGAAAATATGGTTCGTTTGTTTCTCCGCGCAGGTCTGCACGGGTTTTGAGAGGTTTATACCGAACATGACTACTTCGAAACACCTTAGAAAGTCTATTGGCCATTGTACAGTCTCTGGCAGACTTACCTGCACGTCACTACTTAGGTAACACATAAATATCATCGCTGTCGTATCATACATACAGTCTCTGGCCAACTTACCTGCAGATGACTCCTCCGTTCATTGACGTGCAACTTACAGCAGCTGGGCATGCAGCAGGTATCACCAGCATCACCTTATTCTCCCGCCTACGTTCTCGTTTTGATCGACCCGCTCCCCGTCGTCTGCTTTCGCCCGGCTTCTTCCGCCAGCTCGATGCGGGAGGCGGCGTTGAAGCGCAGCTTTTACCGGATGGGCGTGCAGCAAGTGACCTAGAAAATTCTCATTTCCTCCCCTCCCCCCCACACTCTCCCCCCTCACCCACCCCCCTTCCCCACCCCCCCCCAATTCCCTTTCTCCTTCCCCTTCCCACCCACCCCCTACCCACCTCATGTTCTGCCTTCCCGTGTCCCCTTCCAACGGAGCAGCGAGATGCGGGAGGCGGCGCTGAAGCGCAACTTCCAGCGGCTGGGCGTGCAGCAGGTGACCAAGGCGGAGATCCAGAGCACCCCGTGGCCGCGGCTGGAGGAGAAGATGCGGCGCTGGAGTGAACACATGCACATTGGGGTATGTGGGAGGGTGGACACATGCACATCGGGGTATGTGGGAGGGTGGTGGACACATGCGCATCGGGGTATGTGGGATGGTGGATACATTCACATCGGGGTATGTGGGATGGTGGACACATGCACATCGGTTATGTGGGAGGGTGGACACATGCACATCGGGGTATGTAGGAGGGTGGACACATGCACATCGGGGTATGTGGGAGCGTGGTGGACACATGCACATCGGTCATGTGGGAGGGTGGACACATGCAGATGCACATTGGGATATGTGGGATGGTGGACACGTGCACATCGGGGTATGTATGCACATCGTTGTATGTAGAGAATTGACTCATGCACTTCGGGGTGAGTGATTGATGTGCTAGCACATGCGCATTAGGGCATGTGCATTCGCGTGGATGAAACCACACAAGCATGCTGCATGCGCATCCTCTCGCCCACCCTCATAGTACACGACCAGGTTGTTAATGTCACGCTAGAAGCCTCCCATTCCCTTGCACCCCCTTGCCCTCCCATGGCCCTTCTTGCTCCCCCTCGCCCGTCCTCGGTTCCCCTTGCTCCCCCTTCCTGCCCACCCATCCCCTTGCTCCTCCTGTGCCCCCCTCGGTCTCCCTTTCCCACCTTTCTCTTGCCCCACATTACCCCCGTTGCTTTTTTTTTGGGGTGTGACGTCGTGTTTACAAAGGCACCTCTTGAACCCTTAGCTTACTCCCTGTTCTGCCAATATAATTCCGCAGATAATTCTGGTAGCGGGGGAGTGAGAGGCATGCGACCAGGTGTTTGCGGGTCTGGAGAAGCACGGCGAGCAGTGCTTTGTGGACATCTCTTGCTCCTGCATTATCCTGCTCTCCCTCTTACCCACCCTCCTAGTCCGCGACCAGGAGACTTGTATCATGTCTGAAGGTGTGCGACCCCGTGTTTAGATTGGATAGGCCATCTTAAAACCCTTGGCTTACCCTTTTTCGACAAACCTTCCCCTTCAGATGATTCTGGTGGCGGGCGAGAGGGAGGCGTGCGACCAGGTGTTTGCAGGCCTGGAGAAGCACGGCGAGCAGTGCTTTGTGGATCTCTCCCGCTCCTGCATCATCCTGCTCACACACTTTGGCGACGCCATCTCAGTCATCAAGAAATCCCCCGAGCGCCTCTTCTCCTTCCTCGACATGTACGAGACAACGCTCGACCTCAAGTCCACGGTGAGTGCTGACTCAGGTCAATGCTAGTCAACATTAGTCAATTATTGATACTGCATGCTCAAGGCAGAAAGTCCCATGAGCGCCTCTTCTCCTTCCTAGACATGTGGGAGACAACGTTCGACCTCAAGTCAACGGTACGCACCTAGTCAACGCTAGCCAACGGTACTCATGCATGCATGCCAAGTTAGGAGTTCCTCCCAGCGCCTCTTCTCCTTCCTCGACATGTACGAGACAACGCTCGACCTCGAGTCCACGGTATGTCCTGGCTTGAGTAAACGCTAATCAATGCTAGTTGATGGTGCATGATCAAGTCAACACCCATGCCCTTCCTTTCCAACCCTCTTCCTTCCTCCCCCCCTCCAACTCCTCCCCTCTTCCCTCTTCCCGTCCCCCACTCTGTGACTATAGGTGGATGAGCTATATCGAGCAGAGGAGGGCAGGGCAGTTCGGGACAACTACCAGGAACTGCTGACGATTTTGGGGCGGGCAGCCCGAGACACGTTTGAAAAGTTTGAGGACGCGGTGAAGGCACAGCCGACGGCGGAGGATATGAGCGGCATGGGGGGCATGGGCGGCATGGGGGGTATGGGCAGCATGGGTCAGCCTGGAAACGTCCCCCGTGCGGAGATGCTTCGAAACGGAGGGTTCCTTAACAAGCTAAAGAAGTAAGTGCTTTTTTTCCCCCTTTATTTTCTTTCTGATTTTCTTGATGCAGACTGCGCAACTACTTTCAGGTTGTCTCATTTGATGCTGGTTCTTCCTGTCACCCTCATCTTCCTCTTCATTCAACGCCATTCCCCCGTTATTCCCCCCAAAGCCCGATGAATGAGGTTGACAGGCTGCAGCGGAACGTGGCAGCGGATTCCGGCTCTCTCCTCCTCCCTTCACTCTCATCCCCCCTTCTCTCTCTTCCCCCCTTCACTCTCATCCCCCCTTCTCTCTCATCCCCCCTTCGCTTTCCTACTGACTTCGGTACCCCCCTTCCCGACCCAGGATGATGCTGAAGCCAGACGACAATATGAGCGAGGTGGGTGGGCAACAAAGCTTGGCAGCGTGATGCTTGTAACTCATTACCCCTTCACTTCCCCCCCCGCACCTGTCCTCTGCTCCCTCCGTTTCCCACCCCCTGCCTTCCCCAGGATGATGCTGAAAGCAGACGACAATATGAGCAAGGTGGGCGGGCAGCAGGACGTGGCATCATCATGCATCATCTCCCATCCCCTCTTCTCTTTCCTCCTCATTCCCCTTCTCCCAGGATGATGCTGAAGGCGGACGACAATATGAGCGAGGTGGGCGGGCAGCAGGACGTGGCAGCATCCAACGCCAGTGGGGACGTGCACCCCATCACCAGCTACGTGGTCAACTACCTGCTGCTGCTCTGCAACAGGTGAGCAAGGGTGCAGAGAGGTAGAGTGGGGTGGGGGGGGTGGTAGTAAGTGGTTCAATTCACGCCAGTGGGGACGTGCACCCCATCACCAGCTGCGTTGTCAACTGCCTGCTGCTGCTCTGCATCAGGTGGGGGGGCTGGGAGGAGGAGTACGATGGGGTGGCACGGGGGAGGGTGGTTGGGGAGGGTGGCTGGGAAGGCGGTGATAACACATGTTGCAGGGACGTGCACCCATCACCAGCTACGTTGTCAACTACCTGCTGCTGCCCTGCAACAGGTGGGGATGGAAAAGAGGTGGCGTGGGACTGGGAGGGGTGGGTGGAAATGATGGGGGTATACGTGCCCCAAGGCACCTTAATGGATGCAACCCAAACACCGTCCACATCGTCAACTACCTGCTGCTGCTCTGCAACAGGTGAGCGTGTTTGGGAATGGGATGGGGAGGTTGGTGGGGTTACATGCTCTGATATGAGCATGGGAGGATGGGTGGGTTATACCCATCTCCACCCACCCGCCCGTCCACATACACACACATACACCCATCCCCTCCCCCACCGTTCCCATCCGCACACGCGCTCCCACCCCCACCCACACATCCCACCCTCCATATCCCTCTGCATCCCGCTGCCCACCCCGACCCCCACACCCATCCACTCAAACACACCCCCTGCGACTTGCCGCACTTGTCCATCCTAGAGTGTGTGTTTGAGGACATGGCCAACACAGGAAGGCAACGAGGCAAGCAGCTTCACCATCACTGACCCGTATTCCTCTGCATTTCTTCCCAACAACCCCCACCCACATACACCCACCCACCCACCCCCTCCCCCAGCGACCTGCCGTACTTCTCCATCCTGGAGTGCGTGTTTGAGGACATGGCCAACACCGCCAACGAGGCCGGCTCCTCCATCATCACGCCGCGCGTGCAGGGCCGCCTCGCCTTCGCTGCTGCTCGCATCCTGGAGGCCCTCAAAGTCAACCTGCAGCACCGCGCTCTCATGCTGCGCGATGACGCACTGGGAGAGCTCTTTTTGATGAACAACCTGGCCTACGTGCTCACCAAAATAGACGCGTGAGTGCCTAGCTTTTGTGACTGCTGGAGTCCCCGTTTGCATCCTAGAGGCGCTCTTTGCTGTTTGCTGCTGCGCGCATCCTGGAGGCCCTCAAAGTGAACCTGCAGCACCGCGCGCTCATGCTAAGGGATGACGCTCTGGGGGAGCTGTTCCTCATGAACAACCTGGCTTATGTGCTCACCAAAATAGACGCGTGAGTATGAAAACGTGGGCTGCTGCGCGCATCCTAGAGGCCCTCGTTGTGAACCTGCAGCACCATGCGTTCATGCCAAGGGATGACTCGCTGGGGGAGCTGTTTCTTATGAACAACCTCGCATACGTGCACACCAGAATCGACGCGTGAGTATCGAGAAGCGTGCATTCTGGCGGCTTGTTTCAAAGGTATCCAAGAGGCCTGTAGTGAGTGAGTTTGCACGGTCCCACTCCACCGCCCCGTCAACCCACCGTCTCTCACCCCACCATCCCTCACCACCGTCCATCCATTCCCCACCCACTCACTACCTCCCCTTTCCTCCTCCCTTTTTCCTGATCTGCCCTTTTCCCCATGCTTCCTTCCCCCTTATGATGCACACACAGTGCGGACGCAGGCAGGTTGCTGGGAACGGCATGGATTGGCAACTACGGGGCCATAGTGGACAGCCATCGCGACCGCTTCATCAACTCCTCCCTCGCCAAGGTGTGCACTGCTTGCGAGTATGTGCCTCCCTCGCCTATCCTAGGTTTGCCTTGCTGCTTGGTGTGTGTGTTGACAGGTAAGGTGGACCTCTCTTGCGAAAATTCTCTCTACGCCTTTTATTTACAGAGCTTAGCTGCTTCATATTCAAGACTTCGCTCCCAAATTTCTCGCGTGACTGCGTTTCCCCATGGTGTTCCATGAGCAGTTTGACCCGCTGTGGTCCGATGACCGCCACGACCACTCTGCTGTCTTCCATTAAACCCCACCCCCGCTTCCCCCTCCAACCCCCCCTTCCCCCTCCAACCCCCCCTTCCCCCTCCAACCCCCCCTTCCCCCTCCAAACCCCCCCTCCCCCCCCCCCTCCTAACCCCCGCCATCTCCCCATGAGCAGTTTGACCCGGTGTGGTCCGATGACCGCCTCAATCACTTCGCTGTCTCTCCCAACACCTCACTTCCCCCCCCCCCCCCATTTCTCCCCCCAACCCCCCCTCCTAACCCCCGCCATCTCCCCACGACCAGTTTGACCCGGTGTGCTCCGATGACCGCCTTGACCACTTCGCTTTCTCCCAACACCCCCTCCCCCCACGCGTCTCCCCATGCGCAGTTTGACCCGGTGTGGTCCGATGACCGCCTCGACACCGCCTCTCTCGTAAAAAGGTGTGTCCTGTCACGCGATGCTGTCCTTAGATATAGAATGTGTCTCTTCTGACTTTTTTCTCATTCCAATTATCCCCCATCACACCCACCACCAACCCCCCCTTCTCTGACAATCCACTGATCCGCTCCTTTCTTCACACACCCAGCCACTTCCGCCCCCCTCCTTGTTGACTGTCTAATATTTCGTCCGCCCATCCCCTTTACAGGCTCAAGCTCTTTAACTACACAGTGGAGCAGATGAAGCAACGCTACATGGCGTGGACCATTCCTAACCGGGAGTTGCGGGCGCATGTCAAGAAGATGACTCTTAAACGGTTGCTGGACAAATACAGAGACTTCATCGTTCGGCACAGGTAAGTTGGGAACTGTTTTTGTTGAGACGCCATGTAGTGCACCCCCCTGCCTGCACGTCAAGAAGATGACACTCAAACGGCTGCTGGACAAATACAGAGACTTCATCGTTCGGCACAGGTGGGTGGGACTGCCTTTGTTGAGGTGCCTTTTCTACCGTTTGGGTTACCAGGGCCCTCAGAAATTGAGTCTGTGCCATCCCCCTTTCCTGGTTCAGAGTCACAAGACCGTAAGGGTCTTGTGTAGACAGGGTTTTGAGTGGCCTCAGAATATTGCAAATGCTCCCCCCTTCCCTTCCCTGCCCTTCCCTCCCCTCGCTGCAGGAACGTGATTCAAAGCCATCGGACTCTGGATGTGAGAGTGTTCACGTGCGAAGAGATCGAGCAAATGCTGCTGCCTTGCTTTGATACCGGGCCTTCTAGAGTCAAATAAAACAAGACCGCTGCGGCAGATTACGATATTTCAGGTTTCAAGTACCGTAGGAAAAGCATAGCTTGCTATAAGTAGTTTGTGAGTTCCTTGCCCAGCACTAACTTTTTGGTGATTGGCAGGTTTTCAGAAAGACCAAGTCGCAACACCCGGTTGTCAGATGGGACTGGGTGTATTACTCATCACCCGACAGTATATCCAAATGCTGGTAACAAATGGTACCATTGTCACCTGTCTGAGATCCCTTAGATAGTGTAGTCTTTTGTTTCGGTGATTAGTACCAGCAATGAGCTGTGTTCTGATCTTAGCAATTTTGCATGTCATTTATGACTAACCGGGAATCTACAACTAAACAACAAACTTTCGCTACCCATGCTACAGACGTTACTCCTAGAATCTACACCCGCATATACCAGGAGGCTGCAAACTTCCAAATGAACATTCTGTTCTTCATCCGCACATCCCACCTGCTCACTGGAAGCTTGCCCAAGTGCCTTCCACCCAACCAGTGCAAGGGTCACAAGACGCGACCGTATGCACGCAGCAGGGCAGGCAGAGACAATCACTGGGCACACATGAGGTGAAGCACTCTGAAGCGCACATGAGGTGAAGCAATCCACACTACAGAAGCATGGTTACTGCAGCAGTGACTCACGATCTTGACCGGAGGCGGCAGGTCAAATGCCTTGGCCGCTACGGATGCCACCACAGATGCCACATTCGTGATGCTACAGATGCCACAGATGCTTCTCGCATGATATATTGGTACGACTTTTGAGAATTCTCAAAAGTCGTACCACTACAGAAGCCGAGTACTCTGCAGCTACACGGACTGCCTCGTCTTCATCACACTGCTCCAGCTGCTGCTACAACGCAACTCGGAGTTCACACCCAGCTCTGAGTCTTGCTCACTGTGAGTAACTCAGAGGCACCCCTTCCCATGAAAAATCAGTAGCCTTTTAAAATCTCTGTCACCGCTTCACACCTCCCTTAACCTTTCCAGCAGCTCCGAATCCTGGCTGTCACTCAGAAGCACAGACAGCGGCCCCGAACCTCCACCATCCATCAGGCACGACGACGAAGCTGCCAGCCCATCCGCCACCGCCCCTACCGAGCCTCCGCCGCCGAAGCTACTAACCAGCGCCGGGTCTCGGAATCCTCCCGAACCTGCTCCCTCCATCGCAGAGTAATCCAGCAACCCCTGATGGGACATTAACTCCTGCTCCTCCTTTACCCCCAAATTTTCAGGGAAAGAAGTGATTCCGCCCAGAGACGCGCCTCCCCCAGACATACCCCCAGCCACCCCGTCAAAACCACCCACCCCAGGTAACCCTCCCCCCAGGCTCCCCCCAACACCCTTCCCCCCGCCACCATCCATCTCCGCCTGCATACTAGACGCCTCGTTATAGCTATAATTCTGCAGCAACTGCTCGTTTTCATCAGTCAATAACGAGTACAGCCCGTCCCAGTCCTCCCCCTCGCTGTCCTCCCCATCCTCCACAGCGGCTCTTAAAGCCACCTTCCTCCGCATCTCCTCAAACACTGACCGCTCCACACACGCCTGCTTGTCCCCCACCAGCCAGAGGGACCGCTGTGGGAAGAAGATCTCCCGGGCGGCGCGGAATCGCGAGAGCGAGGGGCAGTCAGATAGGACAAGAAGCTCCACTGGGTCGCCGCGGCTCAGGCGCACACTCTTGTGAGGCGGCACCACTTCCATCTGCATGGCAAGAATGGGGTGGATGGGGAGAGAGAAGGTGGGGGAGGGAGAGAGGGGGACAGGGATGGATGGATAGAAATAGCGGAGATAGAGCAAACATGAGTACAGGAGCTGTCCGTAAGCTAAAAAGCGCGGTGGCTACTAAGCAGCTGGTCTTGGAATCGAGGTGGAAAAACATATTATTCCCAAGTAACCGCTAATGCGAAGGCGCAACTGACCTCCAGGGTAGTGCGGCTGTGGTCGCCAATCAGCACGCGCCACCTGGTCTGCCTCCCCACACGCACCACCTGCAAGTCCAGCAGCCGCCCCTTCCACAACCCTAACGGCAGGCCGGGGGGGAGAACGGGAAAGAGGGAATGAGAGTGAGTGAGTGCGTGAGTGAGTGAGTGCGTGAGTCCAGCAGCCGCGCCTTCCACAACCCTGACGAAACGACGGAATGAGAAGAGGGAGTGAGAGGGAATGGGAAAGAGGAAATGAGAAAGAGTGAGTCAGAGTGCGAGAGAATGGACGCAGCAGGAATGGAAAAAAGAGGCGGAGTTTGAAAGACGGAGAGGAGGAAAAGAGGACTCTTTAGCATTATCACCCTCCATTTCCCCTTCCCACCCTTCCCCCCATTACCCCACCCACTTCCCCCTCCTCCCCCATTGCACTCACCAGCATGTCTGTAACGAACGCGCATCGCTAGATTCTTCGCCACAGCGCGCCAGATCGGCCACCACGCCCAGTAGAACGCGGCAGTCGCGGCGGCGATCACGCTCACACTGTACAGCGCCACGGCCAGACCCATCGACACCACGAACCGCCTCACCCACGCCGCCGGGCCGCCCAGCATCTGCAGCACCTGCGGCCCGGACCCTGCCAGCGGCACCAGCAGCGCCAGCGCGCCGTCCGCCAGCGCGTGGACGGCCGGCAGGCGCCGCGGCCGGACGGCAGGGCGGCCGGCAGGGATGTCGGCAGGGTGGTGTTCGTGCGGGCGAGCGGGGGAGAGGGCGGGCGGAGCCTTGCGCTCGGGCAAGGGGGCGAAGTGAGGGGCTCGGCGGGCCGGGGAAGGGGGGAGCGTGGGCGTGGGGGAGGTGGGCCGCGCGGGGAGGGATTGCGGCGCAACAAGATCGGGACTGCGGAGGTGCGCCGGGGGAGCGGAAGTAGGTGCGGAAGAGGCGGAGTGGGTTCGGGAAGCGGAACGGGAATACGCGGGGAGTCGGCGGGAGGGAGGCTTGGCGGTGGTGGGAATAGCCGACAGTATAGAGTCATTAAGTGATTGCTTGAAAGCAGCTGAGGACGATAACGGGGCTGCTTGTACCGAGGACACTGCGGGCGGCACAGATCCAGTTGTAACTGGCGCAGGTTCGGCTGCGGAAGGCGCGGATGGGGCTGCGGGCGGCGCAGCCGCGGTCTTCAGGAAGGGGGAGAACGCGGGGGCGGCGACCCGACGGCTCAGTCGCGCGGACGACGCGGGCGCGCCAAACCCGTTCCCGGGCGCGGGGAAAGACGCGCAAAACCCTTCGCGCACATGGAACAGCGGCAAAGTCACTGCGCCAGGGTTTAGCAATGGCCGAGCCGTGCCCTTACCGCGGAACATTTCCGGCGGCGCGCGTGCTGAAGTGGCCCGCGCTGACGTGGCAGAGACCGACGAAGGAAGATGCTCGAAAATTCCCAAGGGCTTTCGTAAGTGCACAGCAGAGTCGGAGAATCTTGGTAAAACAGAAATCGTTGGCAGAGCTGACGGAGTCGGCAAACCGCTTAGCGAACCGGCTAGCAGGCAGGTATGTGTACCGTTGGTCAAGACGGACGCGCTCGGAGCACCACGCGGTAAACCCTCTTCGGCAAAATCTGGGAACCGCTGCCGAGCCGAAACGGCGCCTGCGCCGCCGCCACCACCGCCACCGTCACCTTCGCCGTCACATCGACAGTCGGCTAGCCGATCAATCTGGCGATCAGTCAAAAGCGCGGCGGGGCCCATCGAGCCGCTCTCCGCCATGGCCTCCGCGAGCTCCGCGCCGGCCGCCGTCATATCTGCCGCCGTCTCTGGCGTTTTCTCATCTACTACTGCCAAGTCCCTACTGTCCCATCGGCCGGGAAAGCCGGAAGACTCGGTTGCGACGCTTCCGCTGCTTCTGCGACCTAGCGTCGCGGTCACTCCGCGGGCAAAGGTAGGCGAATCGCCGTCGTCCCAATCCCCGTCCCGACTTTCCGCTTCCCATATGGCCTCAAATTCCCCAAATCGGCCGCCTGATGCTGACGTGGAAACGGAGCGCGAAAAGGAGCACCTCCGCCTTCCCGGAGTCATCGCTTCGTTCGCGAATACTATTTTTTCGCCATAGAACTCAGAGTGGATGCCAGGAGAAGTTGCCGATGGGCTCGGCGTGAGTGAGGCCGGTCGAGAGCCTGCATCAGTGGACCATCGCCGGCCTTTGTACTTGAAGCTCGAGCCTGAATGGAAACTGTACGAGCGGGTGAAAGTGGCTTCGCCAACTTCTCGAGCTTTTTCGCGACCGGAGGAGCCGAAAGGAGTCCGTGGGGAGACGAGGGAGGAGGGGGAGGACGGAACGGAAGCGGGAGCGGGGGAGTGATGCGAGTGATACGGGCACGAGAGGCTGCTGTGAGCGAAGGAGCACGCGCAGAGGTTTCCCGGCGACGCCATAGTTACGGTTCGGGAGCGACTGCGGTACGGGAACTCCGAGGCGCAGCTGCAGGTTCGGCTAAGGCGAGCAGAAGGTGGGTGATTTACCGCATGCTTGACGGATCGCGCGGTCGTATCGATTTTGAGTAGGCCTTTGAACTTCATATACTTGCTGACTGAACACTCAACAAAAGAGAGACCGAAAAAGAAACAGATTCGCCTACTGGGCTACTGCCTCTTAGCTGGCGACAGGGAAGACGCGCTGTCTCCTCGAAGGAAGACCTGATTGCGTTTTTGTGAAGAATTGGGGGAACTAGGTATGTGGGGATGGGCTCTTTTCACTCGTTCTTGTACGGGAAGGATTTGTGAAGAGTTGGAAACTCAAGCGCTGACGGCGGACCTAGAAACTAGCAGCAGGAATGGGGAATCGCCTTGCCTAGAAGCTGCTGGGGTCCAGAAAGTAGACTTCACGGAAAGTAGTTTCTGAATCCCGAGACGAGACATGTCGCACACAGCGGATTAATTCACTGTAAGATCGCATACACACAGAACCCATGTAAATTGCGACAGTTCAAGTTAGGTGTGCGACTGTAGAGGAGACAATGAGGGATTTTCAGGGGCAGGTGCAGTGGTGTGATTGGAGAAGCGAGTCGCGAGGTTGGACTGTGCGACCCTATCTTCTGGAGGTTGCCGTGCCGTTCCCGCTACGGACGGCTTCCAAAGCAAGGTGCACCACACATCACATTGCGCTCGTCTACCAACCGACACGAGAAAGTTTTCAGGGGTGTCGATGCCGCGGGTTTTGGGCACTGTTTCTTCCTTAGGGTTCAGGTTCTTTTCCTGACAAAACACGGATAACAAGTGTTACCGCTTACGAAAGCACTAAACCGAACAAGCCCGTGACCGATCTTCTTGGGTCAGTGGCTGCCAAGATTGTTTCAAGCGCAATATGGGCAGCCACGTCAACTCATTCCACTTTATGTACGGCACCAGAGTCCCGCTCTGCACAATGGCGCGCTGTAGTGCGATGATTGGCTGACGAAGGGTCTGGGCTTGGCTGGGGCATTTTTTTACAGGAATGTGGCGGGAGGTTTTGCTGCCCAAGGAACGACAGTGTGGCAGGGTTGGATGGCAGTCACCTGCATTTTTGTTGGCAGGGGAAATTCGTGATGATTTGTGGAACAATCGATCGGTCCATACCATTCCCAACCTCGTCTAAGGCTGTAGTTGTATACCTCTTAAACTGTACGGTCCTTACAAAATCTCTATAGACAGATTACGAAGTTCGTCATAACGGGTTTCTCACCAACCAACCACATCACAGACCTCTCCATGCCCCAGTCGAGACCTCACACATAACACCACTAGAACTGGTGTTCAGTTGTAGGTCGAAAGAGTCATGACTAGTAGAACCATGCAACATCCTTGCAGCAGCATCAGCGTGGCTTTCAAGAGCTAGGTTTCTGACCTGACCATAGTGAGAAGCCGCAATAATTTATCGGTTTAAGCGGTACGTGTGACCGTAAGGTGTTAGTTTCCTCCCTCCACGACTGAATACTCCTCGCGGAGGGAGCTCCGCGGCTCCCGTGGCTGGTTTGAAGCGGTCGGCGGACGGCGCAATAGACGGCAACATGAGTCTCTTCGGCGTGGGCCGGTATGCGCTTAACCTTTAAGCCGCAAATGGCTGAGGTTTCATATCCAGAATAATACAAGGATGTTTAATTTTATTCGTATCCTCTTATTTCTGGTTTTGTTATTTCATGCCGCTGCTCGATCTGCAGGCCACATAGCTGGCTATGTTATTGAAATGTCGTCCTTTTTTGTCGCAGGAATCAGCGGACGTTCCGGCCGAAGAAAAGCGCGCCGTCAGGAAGCAAGGTACGATTTTTTTAGGTGCATTTTTTCCAGTTGCTTTAGAGGTAGTTGACAATGCCTGTTTCTTTTTGCTCGTCGCATGCTCCGCCAGTTGTTGCATTGTTCGTGTATAAGAAGTGATTGTAGACGACAAAATAAAAACATTGATTGTTGTCACACCTTATCTGAAACGTTTGGCGGGAATGATCGTACACGACGATGCAGCTTCTGCATCGTTCGTACCCAATTTTTTTGTCCGATCGTCTTCAGCAGCTGGGCGAGCACATCGACTCCAGGATTTAACATCGTCTAACCATCTGTACCCCATCCTTCCTAATCATATCCCCTAATTTCCGTCCGTGCAGGGTCAGCAGCTCCGCAAGCACATCGATGCCACGCTCGGCAGCGGCAACCTTCGGGAGGCCGTCAGGCTTCCGCCAGGCGAAGACCTCAATGAGTGGCTCGCCGTCAACAGTGAGTTGAATCAGACAGCTTGCCGTTACCTCGTCTTCCCGTTGAACGGCCGTCGTGCTGCTAACTATTGTCTCGCTTTCCGTTTGACTGTTAATGCAAGTGTTTGTGATGTGACTCCTTCGCTTTTTGTCTCTCAGTTGCGTCCCAATGGTTGCACACACCCGCAATAATGAAGTATCTTTTCCATCCATTATCTCTCTTCCGCTTTTTTATCCCAGCCGTTGATTTCTACAATCAGGTCAATTTGCTCTACGGCACACTCACTGAGTTCTGCACGCCGGAACACTGCCCCACCATGTCCGCCGGTCCCAAGTAAGCACTCCAACGTACCAATCAGGTTCTGGAAAGAAGTCGGACGTTCGTTCTGAAAATCACAAACTCAGTCTCGTCAATGCAAGGTAAAAAGTTGGAAATTGCCTTTTTTTGTCTGCTCGTGCCAACCTGTCTGGCAGGTACGAGTACCGGTGGGCGGACGGCGTGCACGTGAAGAAGCCGTTGGAGGTGTCGGCGCCCAAGTACGTGGAGTTCCTCATGGACTGGATCGAGACACAGCTCGACGACAGCACCATCTTCCCCCAAAAGCTAGGTCCGTGCTGCAGTCACTAGGGCTAATCCCACAATGGCTACTCCAATAATGGCTTGCTCAAACTGTATTCCCTCAGCCCCTCGCTTCTGACCCCCATCCTAATTTCCCTTTCTGCACCATTCCATTACCATGCATCCCACTCCATTGGTTCGCACCACAGGAGTTCCGTTTCCTCCGCACTTTGAGAAGGTGGTGCGCACGATCTTCAAGCGGCTGTTCCGAGTGTACGCGCACATCTACCACTCACACTTCCAGCGCATCGTCAGTCTCAAGGAGGAGGCTCACCTCAACACCTGCTTCAAACACTTCATCCTCTTCACACATGTGAGTTGCCCCTGGTCTGGCTTGTCATTCTTTCTTTCCCGCTTTTTGCCTCCAAAAACCACTCCCCTCCATCCCACCCCCGCTTCTGTGCTCCATACCCCCTCCCCCCCCCTCCCCCCTCCTCTCTCTCCCCCCCTCCCTCAAGGTGCCAAATCTCTGCCACCTCTCCTCCTTAGTTCCTGTCCCATGCTTCTCTCGTGTTGCAAATGTTTCCTGTTTCTTTGCACCCTGCTTTGCTGAGCATGTTATTTGTTGTGTTGGTCATCACTTCTTCCCTTACCCCATGTCAGGAGTTCAACTTGATTGACAACAAGGAGTTGGCGCCGTTGGAAGAGCTTATAGATTCAATCACATAAGCATCTGGTCTGGACATCTTCCTGTAGAAGCGTGGATGTGCTTGATTGTAGTCAACTTTTTTTTTTGTCCGAGTACAGGAGTTACAGAGTCTCATGTTCACAGCTGTAGAGGTAATGTAATGAATCAGTCAGTCAGAATGTGTTGATTGAGATTGCGCACACATTTGTGTGTGCATGATGCTCTTTTATTGCACTTCCAGTACCAAAAAGGCAACAAGGCTTCCACGTTTGTGTTACACGTTTGTGCTTGCGCAAGGCTTGTGTTCGCCAAAAAGGTTTCGCAAGCGAAACCGTGACCGCTAGTTTCGCATGTGAGGCTAAGGGCGTGTAACTTTTTCCATTTACCGTAAGGCCAATGTCCGGACGGAGCCCCCAAAACGTCCGAACGGAGCTCCGTCCGGACGGATGGGGATGTGGTTCGTGTCAAAATGAGGAATGAATGTTCCATTGATGTTGGTTGGGGTACATATAACAAACCCTAACTTCTGCACCCCCTAAGACAAACCTCACTACAGGCTACAACATTTGACACACCCCCATAGCCTAAGTGAGGGGTGTCTAGCAAAATCAAAAAGAGTACGGTCACAAGACCAGTCCAAAAGAAAACAAAGCTCAGGGTGGATCACAACGTCACCACACACTCTGAGCACAAGCAACAGTGGCCACAAGGCCAGTCCAAGAGATCACAAGTATATATAGCAAGTGTACAGACGAAGCAGGCAATAAACTCAAGTCTACACATGACTAGAACCTGTGTCAACAAGGCCTAACTGCACACAACACCTCTGGTGGTCACAAGGCGGAAGCGCCTTAGTGAAGATGTCTGCACTGTTGGCCTCGGACTCTACGAACTCGAAGCGAGCCTGTCCACGTCTCTGCAACTCTCGCAGAAGAAAGTACCTGACGTGAATGTGCTTCACTCTGCTCTCCAGTCGCGGCTCACGACAGAGGAGGATCGACGCCTTGTTGTCAGTAAACAAGGTCGGTGCAGAGCTCGGCCGCTCACCAAGGTCGGCGAGCAAGAAGGTCAACCACCGCAACTCCTGTGCCGCCATGGCACCAGCGTAAATCTCAGCCTCAGCTGTAGAGGTCGAGACAGAAGAGGAGCGCGTGGAACGCCAGGAAACAGCTCCAGAACCCAGACTGAAACAGTACCCCTGAGTAGACCTGTGAGTCTCAGCGTCGTCAGCGTAAGAGGAATCACAGTGACCAGTGAGTACGACAGACTGCTGCCCTCCAAGAACTAGCCCCACGCCTGATGTAGTCGCTAGGTACTTCGCCACCCTCACAGCTGCCGTCCAGTGAACAGGACGGTGTCTCCCTGGCGCAACAAAGCGCGCAAGGATGCTGAGAGGGAAGGCGAGGTCCGGGCGAGTACAAGTCATCAGGTACATGAGGCAACCCACAAGCTCTGCGTAGGGACCACTAGGCTCAAACGGCTCGTCAGGAAAGGGACCAGTGAGTCTGTGGTCAACAGCGAGAGGTGTGCGCTGTACGGTGGAGTGCTGAAGCCCGAACCGCTGAAGGACCTGCTGCACCATGTGTGACTGTGAGAGTGTAATGGTGCGAGCGGCTCTGTCCCTGGTGATCTGCAGGCCAAGGTAGTGGCGCAGCTCACCAAGATCAGTGCACGTGTGTCTCTTCTGCAGTTCGGACTTCATGTCTGCCAAAGCAACCCTGTCCGGAGTGGCGAAAACGAGGTCGTCGACGTAGACCAGAACAAAGAACGGTGTGGAGCCACGACGAACGAACAGCGACGGGTCGGCAGAAGACGGCTGGAACCCAAGGTCAGAGAGGGTAGAACGCAGAGTGTCGTGCCACTCACGAGGGGCCTGGCGAAGACCGTAAACAGGTCGCCTCAGCCTCCACTGGGTCCCAGGAGGGAAAGTGCCAGTGAAGGCCGAGGGACGACGTAACCAGAACTCCTCGTGTAGGCTGCCCTGAAGGAAAGCAGTGGAGAAGTCGAGAGAGTGTAACTCGTAGTCTCTCTGTGCTGCTACGTGTAGTAACACCCGAAGAGTGGTCATCTTCGGGGTAGGTGCGAAGGTCTGAAAGAAGTCAACTCCCTGGCGCTGACTGAAACCTCTAGCCACGTAGCGCGCCTTGAAGACCGGGGGAGATCCCGGTGGCCGCTTCACCCTGTAGATCCACATGCCGTCGACTACGTTCGCCCCAGGGGGGGGAACCTCATCGACGTAGGTGCCTGTGGATCTGTAGGAGGCCATCTCTGCGTCCATGGCAGCTCTCCACTGAGAGGCCCAAGGCCCTGACACTGCCTCAGCGTAAGTGCGAGGAGTCGGAATGTCAAGGGCGTCGGGGTCACCCTCAGGGGCGAGGAGCATGGCACAGAGATGAGGGGAAGCGGCCGCCAGGAACTCTAGCTCAAACTGCCTGTCCTCTAGGGCGTCACAGCCAAGGGCAGACACACCCCCGACGGCCAGAGGACTGGTAGGAGGAGCAGCCACAAGCGTGGTGGCGTAGTCAAGGCGACGGGTAGAGGCAAAGTCAGTAACTGCAGCAGTAAGAGCGGACACAGAGGACACAGAGGCACGAGGGTGAGTAACAAGAGAGGCGAGAACACGAGAGAGAATAGGACGGTACGTGCGGTAGTAGTCAGTGACAGGAGCAGGGAGCGACACGGTGAGGGCCGACTCAGGAGGAGACGGAAGCACAGACTGAGACGGACGAGGTGGACTAGAACAAAGTAAGGCAGTACGAAGGTCAGTGAAGGGAACAGGAGACGAGGGACGAGCACGAGGGGAGCGACGAGTAGCCCAAGAACGAGACGGAGGAGGAGAGGACAAAGGCGGAGAACTGGAGAAAACAGCGGGGGAGGAGTCAGGCGGAGGAAACGTGGGACCGTAGACAGGAGGAGAGGCGGAGGAGGGAGGAGAAGGGGAGGGGAGACCAAGGGCCCGAAGACCCGAGACAGGAGGAGGAAGTGGCTGCTGCTGCTGCTGCTGCGAGTGCTGCTGCTGCGACTGCTGCTGCTGCGGACGCGGCTGCTGCTGGGACTGCTGCTCCTGCGGGTCCAGCTGCTGCTGCTGCTCCGCCAGCCGCTGTAACTCCCTCTCCTCTCTCTCCAACGCCAGCTGCTCGTCACGGGCACGGCGAACACGAGCCTGGTGCCTAGTCGGGTAGGGGTGGGCGGGCGGAGTAGTGTCCGAAGCAGCGGCAGCTCCAGAGTCAACCCCCGAAGAACCAGGCGCACCACCCCCAGAGGCAGCACTAACACCAGCTCCAGACCCAGGCTCACCAGAACCCGAAGGAGGCGCACCCTCACCCCCAGAGGGAGCACCCCCAGTGTCCGCGCGGCCAGCACCAGCTCCCGGACGACAAGAGTCCTCTGCACCCACCGGGTCAGCTCCAACTCCAGAACCAAAAACTCCAGCTCCACCTCCAGCACCAGAAACCGGTACAGGAACAGGCGCAGCACCAACCTCTCGAGAGCTAGCACCAGCGGCACGCTGCGAGGAGGACTGTGGGGAGGGAGGCTGTACCGGAGGGGCTACCGAAGGAGGAGGGGTAGCCTGGGACACACCTGACGGGGCTGGGCCAGGGGGGGGAGGCTGTACCGGGGGAGCAGGAGGGGGAGCGGCAGTCAGGAAGAGGGGGGGAGGAGGAACCGGGAGACCTCGACTGGGGTACCTGACGTAGTACGGAGTGGACTCCTCGAAACGGACGTCACGGGAGTCAAAGAACCGGTGAGAGGGAGGGTGGTAAAAGGTGAAGTCAGAGGAGTCCTCAGGGAAACCAAGGAAGACACAGGGGACGGCACGAGGCGAGAGCTTGTCCGCGGAGGTGTCGCGGACAAGAGCCAAGCACCCCCAGACACGAAACCGCGACGCAACACCAGGGGACCCTGTGCAAAGACTGGTCGGTGAAACCTCTGGTCGAGAGACACGTGGCCAGAGGTTCAGCTGGTGCGCGGCGTACCTGACCGCGTAGGGCCACAGAAAATGGGGGGCACAGGCGTGAGTCAGGGAGGTGCGGGCGATCTCCATGACCAGGCCTATGCGGCGCTCAGCAACCCCATTCTGCTGTGGGGACTCTGGAAGCGTCCAGGACTGACGAATGCCCTGCTCGCGACAGAATCCAGCGAGAATGCCGGAGCGAAACTCACCCCCACGGTCGGAGTGGAGACAGCTGACACGACGACCACGAGTGTCCTCGGTGGTGAGCAACCACCTGATCAGCGTAGAAGTCACTTCAGACTTCTTCGCCAGAGGGAACACTGTGGTGTAGCGGGAGAAGTCGTCAACGACCACCAGAAAGTAACGCTCACGCTCAGGGCCTAGACGAGGGGCGGGGCCCCAGACGTCCAAGTGAAGCGTCTCAAAAGGCTCGGTGGTCGGACGAAGGGAGGAGGAGTGAGGGGTGGCGCGCAACCTACCCTCGACGCAGGGACGACACGGCGGCGCAAGCGAAGGCGGCAGCGACGGCAAGACACGTGGGAGGCCTAGGACAAGACGCTGACTAGACATAGCGCGCAGACGAGGAAGGGACGGGTGCCCCATCCGATGGTGCCACAGAACGGTGGGGTGGGCAAGCGACCGGCAGGAGCACGACGCAGCGACTGGAATAGCCGTAGGAACCTGACACGACACAGACACCTGGGGGGACGAAGCAACCTGGTGAGACGCGGGGACCCGAACGGGGGGGGGAACCGGGGGCAGTGGAGTAGGGGGGGCTGCTGGTGTGGCCGCTGGTGCTGGTGCTGCTGCTGCTGCTGCTGCTGCTGCGGCTGCGGCTGCTGCTGCTGCTGCGGCTGCTGCTGCGGCGCACGCGGGCCAGTGTGAAGAGTGTAGAGACCCAAGCCCGGCTCAGCAGTAAAGGTAGCAAGAGGCTGGTAAGAGTCTCCGTCAACACACACCGCAGTCTCTCCAGAAGGCTCAAACCACACACCCACGTGCTGACTCACGAGGGGTCGCACGCCCACCAAGTTCCGGGAGAACGAGGGGACGTGAAACCCAGTGAGAGACCCGGAGGGAGCAGCAGGA